ACACATATACATATACGTACATAATATACTTAAGATCATGTGAGACCGATCTGTATTTATGACACCCGTGAAACAACATAAATAACATTGAACCTTTTGCTTTTCGTTGGTCAACAACCAACCATATACACCGCCAAAGAAGTCTGGCGTACACCTTCAAATTGTTTTTTGCTGTGAATATTCAGTGTTTTTTGAACCTTCACAAAGTAAATTTTGTTGTAAAGTTTCAATGTTATTTTGTGGTTCCATCAGTTTCATGAAAAACAAGTTTGTCTCATGTAAACTCAACCCTATATACATAATATGATATTAGATAGGTTCAAATGAAAATGACAAAAAAAAAAAAGTTGAAAATAGGAGAATAAATTTTAATCATTAGATTTGATCTTTGTAATCTAAAAAGTTGTAATTTATAACCGAGTTACAGTTAACAGTAAAGACGACCAATTAAACCATCCATTTTGTCTTTGGTAAACCCTCGTCTAAATTCAGCTTGTTTCTTTTTAGAAATTCACGTACCTCATAACGAGATGTTAATTAACACCGACAAACTAGAATTCAGATATCTTATTTTAATATAAAGTATTTAAATTATTTTATCAATTAATTTAGAAGTTACAAAACTATACATACACACAGACAATAATATAATGAGAACCAATAATAATATGTTGTTTCATATTATCTATACTATATTATAAAACATTTGATAAAAACTCTTAAAAACCACTTTTTATGCGTAAAGTACTGTTTATTAATGCATATTACTTAAAATTCAAGATTACAAGTAGATTGTGCGCAAGTACAACTTATTAAAGCTCCATATCTGAATTCGTATAACTAACTGCAAATAAACATAATCAAATACAGGATAAACATCTTATTAAATATAAAAAATCTAAAATATAATTAGGATAATCATTGAGTTCTAACAAAACATTTAACTATTATCTTTATAAAATGTTATATTATTAAACCAAAAATAAATTATTTCGTTATTAAACTTAAATTAAATTATAATAAAAAATAAATTAAAGAAATTACATAAAAAATGAGAACTTTTAAATAGTTGAAATTTTTATTATATCTTCAAATTTATATATTATTCAAAATTAAAATCATTATTGCTTTCTTAAAAACACATAAAATCGTATTATAACATCGACATAAACAAATAATAAAATAGAACATTAAAATTGAGATGTGTCTTGCTTGCCCGAGTACTCTTCTAGTATGAAATAACACATGTGTAAACGCTATGTTGTTTCACAATGTGAACATTTTTTGTATGTATAATATTAATCGTTTTCCCATTACGAGACAAAACACAATCAAAGGTTCATACGGTTTTCAACCTTTTTATGATTTTCATTTGATTATTTACCCCCCCCCCCCCCCCCCCCCAAAAAAAAACACACACACACAGAGGAGATATATACATGATTTCGACTTTAACATCTCAGGGTCTACCCGACACAAGAGCAATATTTACGCCTTTTTCACTTTGAACATTACAGTGTCCAATAAATCTGATTTTAATCATTATTGTTTTTTTCAAATTTTTGAAAACAAATCAGAAGTACATCTATGCCGTAATAGTATCCACCAAATTCTGACTCGTGTTTTGTCGACAGAAGCTTTAAAGTTCAATTCTAGCCCCTCAACTTTTAGATTTTCTTTTATTGCCCCAAACTATTTACATTCACTAAAACCCTAGTTTTATGGATTTTCAAAAGGATAAAGTTTGGGGTTGTTTACCAAATAATTACTGGATAAGCTCGTACGAAGTGTCACTTACTTTACCAAGTGAGCATGATTAAGACCGAGAATCTTACCTGGTAAGAGACATAGTAAAGACCGAGAATTTTGCATGGTAAGCGCTTATTGAATAAAAGACGCTTATCAGCAATCCATTTTGATGACTAAAAATGTTATTCAATAATGTAAGTGAGAATAATGACTCTTATCAGTAAGAACTTACCTGGTAAGCATTCGGTGAACGGCCCCCTTAATATGTCAACAATTTACAAGATAATTTATATGTGCCCTATTGAATTGCCCTAGCAGCAAGAAGGTGGCGTTTTCCACTAAGAGGTCGCGAGTTCAATCCAAAGTATTACAGGATACTGCCATTTACCTTCTCAATGATAACCATGAGACCAGTAAAATGCTCCAAAAAGTAGCATGACCTGTTTCCATAAAGATATTTTATATGCATTATTATATAGACATATATATATATATATACACACACACACCCCACACACACCCCCAATAAGGGTGTCTAATCAAATGAGAACTCGATAATTTATAATAACCGTAGGATCCAATTTCAGTCAATCAATTATTCGTATGAATTTCTTTATTTAATTAACAGTTAAAGGGTGTATTTGTAATTTCCCTAATTAAAAATTGAAATTAATTTTATTTAGCAATTATCCACTAATGATGTGGTTACCATAATTAACTCAACTAAATTGATTTTTTTAAATATCATCGTCAGAGCAAGGCCAGAAGGAACCCTTGCCGTCGCCGGAGTTTTACTCAGGTTGAGTTTGAAGAGGAGGAAGAACACCACCATGATTCCATCACACGTTACCGTTGCTACTACTTTCAAAGGGTGTTGTTTGTTCTTTCTTTTCTTCAAATCTTGATAGGGGTATCAAAGTGGGTATCACACAGGGTATGTGCAATCTAAAAGCCCATATCATATCTGGTATCACATGGGTATCACAGTTGTATGTGTATCACAATTGTTTTGTATCTTTCTATTTAGAAGTTCTTGGGTATCTCAGAGGATATCATAGTGGTGTACGCTTGAACAAGTTTAACTAAAATAAGGTTCACTGAACCACAAGGGTGGTGCCTGAGTGGTTTGAGCTTGGCTCCAAAGGTCAAAAGTACCAGAAGGTCTCAAGTTCAAATCCAAAGAAGAATAAAAATCCTCTTGTGGCAACGGAGATTCAAATGCGGTAACTCCGGGCTATCTGCAAAGCCAAGTGGTCGCCCTGGAATTTGTCGGCTCACATAGCAGGTTGGATATTCAGGTTAATCAGAAAAAGAAAAAAAAAAGGTTCACTGGCCGGAGAGAGGAAAAAGAAGAGAGGATAATTATCAAAATTAATATTTTTTTAATAATAACCAAAAAGACTAATTTACCTCTGAATATCATCCATACTTTTTTTTAAAAAAAAATAATAGATAATTACAAAAACTAATATCTTTTATAGTAACCCATTGATTATTAATAACATGTGGTTGAAATTAAACCTCACAGTTATCATAAACAATCAAGTTCGTCCTTAAATGCTCCCTACCAATAAGTGCTTTTATATTTAAAATTTTATTTATTTTATTTATAAATAAATAGACAAATTACATGGAAATGTAAAATATCTTGTTCCGAGAAAGTGTGACATCTTAAATATATAGATACGTAACTTAAATATGAAAATACATAAAAATACACTATAGTTTGGTCTTATTCATATATTCTGCAATATCTTCTGGTTTAAATATTTACGGCTTCAAAAATATGTTACGTAAAATAGGAATAATATGAAATACGTCACATTTTCATATAATTTCTCGTAAATAAATACATTATTTTATTAATAAAGAAAAGAGAAAATTGCACCAAAATGAAACTAATTTTCACCTAATTCTTATTTTGAAGAACCAACTTTCAAAATCGTCATTTTAAGGAACCAACTTGCACCTGATTCTTATTTTGAGGAACTAACTTGCAAAATAATTATAAAAAAATAACTACAATTCGTTTTTTTCAAAAATTAATGCAATAAAATCTATTTTTCATTTCAAATCTTGTTTTTTCTTAAATTCAGATATCAAATTGAAGATTTTTTTCAAAAAAAATCCAAATTACCACAATAAAAATTGTTTTTTACTAATGCAATAAAAAATCAATTTAATAGAGAAAAATTAATTGATGCAATAAAAAATAAATATTAAATATCACATTCAAGATTTTTATATCTAACCAATCCGTATCAATATTAAAGTTTAAATCAAATTTGKCAAATCAAACCAAAAGTTTGATAGAGACCCTTAAATTATCTGTTACATGTTCAACAGATCAACCAGACCCTTAAATAAACAAAAAGTTTGATAGAGACCCCTAAATGACAATTTTGAAAATTGGTTACATTTTGATGCAATTTTTCCTAAAGAAAAAGAAAAACTCTTACTAATTTAGAAAGAAAACTAAAATTGTTCCAAAGAGAAATAAATAACTTGGGGAATTCTGACTCTTGGGCTAATAGGACTACAGAGGGTTCTAAGAGCAGATGAGGTTGCCCACATGCCCCATGGGATCATAAAAACTGATGGTAAGTTCGAATATAAATACATTTAGATTGGACTTTAAACTGGTACGTAGAATAAGACAAAACAAAAACTTGTTCACGTTTAACACAATATTAAACTGAGACAGAACAAGACCGCAAGAAAATATGCATTGTCTTTGTCTCACCAAAATAGGTGGAACGAAAATAAGATGGGCTGAGATAGATAAAATTACTAAAACACCCATGTCAAATTAAAACCCTAAAACCTTCCGTGTTTGAAGTGATATTGGACTGGAACTGAACAAGACTGAGTGAGACAAAAGAATATTGTTTTTGTCCTACCAAAATAGATGGAACAAAAACTAGGGATATGAGACAAGATAGTTAAATTACTAAACTACCCATGTCGAATTAAAACCTTAAAACCTTCCACGTTTCATTCATTCGCCTACCTCACTCTCATCTCTCCAATCCAATCTCATTCAATCCAGCCTACGTACCAAACTCACCCAGATGGCAACACGTTCACATAGGGCGAGGCTTTTTTCCAAACTAAAGAACCGTTAAACACGTGTACGCAATTAAGTACCGAGTTGTTATAGCATTGATACTTATAATTCCAGTAACCTTAGACCTAATCATGAATGCTAAAAAGGAAGGTAATATGTATCACAAAAATGGTAAAAACAGAGCTAGAAGCAGAGTCTTGGGATCTGATAACTTTGAACAAGTGTTGTTCAATCATAAATCATGATGGTTGGGGGGGTTGAATCTAGACATAAATCTGGTCCCAAACCTACATATATATGCTGACAATTTAGACAGTTTTGGAGATGGTCCTGAAAATTGGTACAGCAATAGTAAGTACCTGATTAGGGTTCTAATCTTCAACTGGGAATTTTGTGAAATGAATGATGATTGATGATGAGTTCCATCTTTTCTGGCTTTTTGGGTTTCATAATCTATCCCCTGCAAAAAACAGTTAAAGGTGCGATTAGTACACTAGACAGAACAGAACAGAACACGTGTCTTCCACTCCCACCTCATGGAACAAGACTATGTTTTACCAATATACCACTAAAATAAAACCTAATACGATTAAAAACATCATATACGACTCCCACCCCACAAACTACTTCCTCTGTTCAAACATCATATACAGATTGATCATAGCTGAGTTAAAAGTCCTTTGCTGGTTATTTTACCCTTTAATAAGCAAAGGGGTAACTGCAATTTAAAGGAGAAAACATGGTTGAGTCTTGGCTTGTTAGAAGTCCGCTAACTATTTTTACTTCTTCTTTATCAAGGTTCTAAGTGGCAAGCGTGATGTGGTGTGGCGGCAATGTCAAGCCTTAGGAGCCATAACATTTCTTAAAGCATGGCTTATATATAAGAAGTGAGAAGCCTCGGAACCGGTGCATCATGTGCTATTTCACATGAATTTTTCCATCTAACGCTAGAAACTAGTGTATTAATCAACATATATTTGATTCACAATGTGTTTGTTTCACATTGTGAATCTTTTTTACCTGTTTCTGGAGAGCAAATATACACGTATAGAAGTTTCACATGTGAACCAAAAACATATGAAACAACCACATAGTGAAACAAATATATGTTAATCAATACCTCAAATTCAAGCCTTATGGGCTGTTTACCCAAATGTTTACCTGGTAAGTGCTTACCTATAGGAGTCAACGCTATAATTTACCTTGATGCGTAAGATTTTAGTACATCAAAATGTATCGAATGCAACAATTTACCGGGTAAGCACTTACCTAGGTAAGAGTCGTCATATTCACTTACCGGGTAAGACTCTACATCCTTCTTAGTGCTTTTACCCGGTAAGATTCTTGGCCCTTGTCATGTTCATCCGATGAGGAAATTTATCCGATAAGCACTTACCAAGCAAATGTTTAGCAAACGGCCCCTTAGATGAAAAAGAAATATGTGAAACAGTACCTCAAGCTAAGAGTTATATGGGGTTTTCATTTAATTATGCCCTATATACACACATGTTTCTACTATTACTAAATGATATTGAACAATTTATATTCATACAAGAACAATCACAATCCTATATCGATATCATATAGAGAGAGTGCTTGCAAAAACTGTTCTGTCAAGAGCTCATAACAACGTAAAAAGTAAAACTAAGGCAAACTTTGCTACAAGAAAAGTTAAACAAAGTCAAATAACGTGTTCAAAAAACTAGCACCATAATAGGTTGAAGCATATAACCTACTTTCTACATATCTAAGCCCCGTATCAATCCACATACTTCTTTGTATCCTACCCTAACATTAAGCAGTGCGGCTCTTATCACAATTTCATTTGTCTTCATACTATATTAAAGAAACCTATAAAATGGACATTTTGAACCACCAAAATGGATAAGAGTTCAAAGATGTGGGTGTTAATAAGTTCAGGTTCCATAGTTCCATGCTCTTGGCCCTTTCCCCTACCATGACACACTAGGGGTCTGTTTGTTAGCAGCTTAATGAGCTTAATGAGACTCACGGGTTATTTGGTCAGCTATACATGACTGTTAGATAGTGGCTTTTCAGTAAGCTTATAGAGGGGATCTTTATGCAGAAAGCTAAGTTTTTTCCAAACCTTCACGCTCCTTCCATCTACGAAAATACCCTCCCAAACCAAAACTTCCCAATCTATGCAGACGGATTCATCCACAAGTACAACTTTATCTATCCAGGACTTGATTGAAAACCAACCAAACCCCCCCAGGTTTCATATTATGGTTCCTAAAGAAGTAACACAAGAATGACCATCTACGCGAAAATGAGCCAAGTCATGCGACACATGGTGTGATGGGTGCCATTTTCTAGACCAAGAAAATTACTTCCACCGTCCCAAAATAAATGTCCACAATAAGAAAAGCACACAGTTTTAAAAAAGTATATTAAGACGTATGAATATTACACTTTTAATTAACCGAATGACAAATTTACCCTAAGTAAAGAGCACATAATGTTAGAAATGTAGAATTTTTCCACAAATGAATTCCTCCATCTAATCAACTCTTAAATATCGTGGGTCATAATTAATGGTAGAATTGGAAATTTAGCAAATTATAACCATTTATTTATGAAAATGGACACTTATTTTGGGACAGAGTAAAAAGCAAATAAGATACAAAAGAAAATCACATTCACTTATAGCACATAGTAAAATCATAAAAAATAGAACACTTCAATCCAAAAAAATTCCATTTTATTTACCTTGCAAATATTGCTTGTGTGATAGCCATTACCAATTTCATTTTCTTATATTAATTACAAAAATACGAATTCGAGTAGTCAAAGGCAATCGAAGTGCAAGAAATGCAACCTTCCAAATCCATAGCTTCTTGTAGAAATACTAAAGCTTAAAGCTCAACTTTACAAGCCCAAAGAAGCCTACATTCTTCATTTAAGTACCCAAGCTCCCATCTAGAACAATTGTGGTGTAGTGGTTGAGGCCCATGGGGGAGGTGGTGGAATATCCCATTTTACCCCGGGTTTGATTCCTGGCAGGCATCTACAACAATTGTAACCACCAAGTCTATCAGCGCTGATTTCTTACGGTCACCTTTGCCGCAATTAGTCTGAGCATAGCCTGGGATACCCTTCCAAAAACTACTATGCTACTGAATAAGGTTGGTAAAGAACATGATACAGTTTTCTTTTGTCCAAGTACCGTTGAATAATTGACATATATAACTAGTTTGGGTTTGTGATTAGAGCAAATGCTTACCTTCCATCTCCATGATAAAGAAGAGGAGTATGAAGTTTGTGATATATGTAGGATCTTGTGCGTCCAAGATTGCTTCACTTTCCTGTTCCTCTCCTTAATGTTTCAAACTTCTCTGCAAGTATTACTAATAATCCAGTGAGCATTTTGTTCACGAGAGAACAAATAGTAGACGAAGGGGTTTAAAAATCTTCACCCAGTGTATTTTTTCGACTTCCTTTACCGTTGGATGTCTTAAAGTATACACATTTTGAGGAGTGTTACTGAGAAACATTTCAAAAAAACAAGAAGTGACATCAAGGTGCAAGTTGCATGAACTAATAATGTGACAGAAAATAAAGACAATTTAGTATATTTAATGTTAAACACTAGAGACATTCTATCAATTGTAGTGTTAAATACACATAATCCATTAACTGTAAGAATGTCCATTAAGTGAGTGAATGGGAATCTACAGAGAGAATTTCCTCTCTGTATTGTGTATGCATTTCTTGCTTACATCAACAGAGTGCTTACACCTCTATGTACAAACAGAAAATACCTACGTGGCATAACTATGTGAAATACTCTCTAACAGAAAGTACGTTGGTTCGTTTCGTCCATTTTGGTGCCATGAAGGCAGAAGTGGGTAATGATATTAACGCCCGATAAATCATGGTCCATTTTTGCTAATTCTAGCAAGGTATATAGCGTTACCTTTTGTCTTTCAAAGTATGGTGGTTTTGCAACAACCAAGTGTAGAAAATGACAAAATAAAGGGAACCTTGTGGACCTGAATCAATACCAAATTTTAATTGCAATATTGACAATGAGAAAATGCAATAAAGTTTGTCTTAGTTCCTATATAATGTACCAAATAAAAAAATGTACTCAATCAATGCAAAGTTTTAAATTTCCTATTTTTTACCCATTGTGATTCGTAACATACTGATTTTGTAACATTTGATGAAGTGAATGTCAAGTTTATTATCCACTTTGCCGTAACCCTTCGATAAACGGGTATCCACATCACCAGGCTACTGGTCAAAATGGGTAGAAAATAGGAAATTTATAAAAAAGATCGTTACACCGACCCAGAAAAAATATTCAATATTTCACTAAATAGGAACAAAACCAAACTTTGTTGCGTTTTCCCTAAAAGTTACAAAAAAACTGTTCAATTTTCATGGGATGTCCCTCAAAGGAAAGTAGCACTTTTCATGGGATAGTGCGAGTATATGTTTAAAACTTCAAAACACAAATGTGTGTAATTGTCATGCCAGGCCTCCAAGCAAGCTATGTATGAAGTAATAAAAAAGGATGCAATCACCATACAATGTAATAAACGACATTAAGATAATATTGCATAATTTTGGTCAAATGGCCATAATGCTTAATGTGCAATGGAAATATAACCATCAAAGGATGTCATATGATGTGGTAAATGTCAACCCACCTTTCTTAAAATTCCCTTCCTTATGACGTACGACAACAAGATGTGGTAGCAGAAAAGAGAAAAATGTTGCCAAAGGGTCAACAGTCCAACGGCATCCAGGACTCCAGTTTGCCGGCAGATCTCGTCCTCCTTGGAGATTAAGGGTTCAAGTCTCACCGAAGGTGAGAAGTTTGTGAGTTTTTCTGTGTATAAATATTATATACTTCAAAATTATGCCAAGGCCAACTGACCTTTCTTGCAACATGTTTTTTGCTTCTACTCAATCTTTCTCCTCTTGCATGAGAGTGGATATGGACCCTGAGAAAAGGACCACAATTATTGAGTTAACACAATTTGGAAGTTTGGTTATCCTATTAATCATATATGATCAACAGTTTGCATAAATCAGATAAGTTATTAAACCAAACAAAACCAAACCAAAAGCACCCAGTAAATCCCACTCGAAAGTAGGGTTTGGAGGGTGAGATGTAGGAAGACTTGACCTCTACCTACCCCACAGAGTAGAGTGAAATCACATAAGTGGTTGTTGAAACAAAAAAGCAACTGCAGCAAAAGAACAAGCGTATTCATTCAATCTAACAACTAACAAGACTAAGATCAATGTGACAATATGAATAAGAATCAAAACCTTAACTTTATTTATTTTAAATTGTACTTTATCCTTCATATCAATTTTCTTTCTAGTAGCATTAATCTTCAAATCTACGATGATTTCATCCCTGGTTCTTGAGCTGATAAACTTCTACTTTTCCTTTAGCCAGATTTGGCAAACTGCTGTCAAGACTTAGATGGAAGGTCAAGAAATGAAGCATTTCACAGCACAACAGCTGGCATCTACATCCAGCGGAAAAAATAAAAATGGTCTCACATATGATCATTTCTTAGTTAATACGAAAAAAAAATCGTAATATAATATATGAACATGAGTACACATAAATTACAGGCAAAGCTATTAAAATGTGCTTGTTGCATGTATGTGTGTTTAACTGTTGAAAAGGATTAAATAACCATCCAGAGTTCTACCAGATGTTGAAATCCAGAACCAGTATTAGACGTAACAAATATGTGCAATTAACGTATACCCTTAATAGAAAAGACGTCAAAAATAAGTTCAAAAGGTAAAAGGAACAGAAATAAGTTTGTAAACCAGTATAGGAATCAGATAAAAGAAACATATGCAAACCCCATAAAACTTAAGCAAATCATCATCCAGACTAACAACAAAGAGGTCTCAGGATTATCTTCCCAGATGACTTCCCATATGCAGATCACATGACTCCTCTTCTCATGATCACATCTGAAAATGTATCTTTCAATCCACAGTGTGCAAAATGGGATCATGACTGTCATTTCAACTCTCAACATACAAAATCAAATAAATATGAGGTGAAACCAGAGCAAATAAAGTTTATCATATGATCAATAACCTTGTGGGAGAACTAGAAAAACAGGCTGAAACAAGTTCTGGCCAATTGGGGAAATCATTTAATAGCCAAACAGAAATCAAGAATGTCTGGAAGATATGAAAAATGAGTCACGCAAATATACTTCTGTACAAGCAAAACAAAGGAAAGCAAAAAAATGCTATCAGTCTCTACTCATTTGTAGCAACCAGCAAAAGAAACATAACATGAAACAAACTTTAGCATTAAGGAACGGTATCATCATTAAACCAAACAGAAACGCACACTACAAATTAAGTTATGAATTCAGTATTCGAAGCTTAAAGCTAAGAAAAGAAGCTAAAGATCTTAATCTAACAAAATCCAAAGATAAGCTGCCAAAGAGGGACCAGACCCAAAGCCTAGTGCTCGAATGGCATCCTAGACCATCGTATCCCTTCTGGCCTCTAGATATCTCTTGACGTGGGTCTTTGGTATCTGAAAAGAAATTGCACTTTGAAACCTATTTATAGGTAAACACTTCCAGTAATATACTTGCAGTTCACTTATACACAACCCCTTTCGGCTTTCTGAACCATACTATCTTCTTCAACCAGCGACCCTACTCTTGCCATTGAAATTTTGGCCAAAATCCATATTTGCAAAATCGTAATCACATGAAACACATACACACATACGAACGGTAAGAAGATAGGAGGATTGGAATAGGATATTGCAGACCGAATGCTTATAATTTTGTGATTTAGGTTACGATTACACCAATGTCCATCGCCCAACAGTTACCTATCAATCGATCTTTCAAACCAATTGTTTATGCGTTCATGTTTGTATTTCCCTGTTTCTTTGCAATTTCTATGTTACAACTTACAAAACACACACACGATTACAAAATCCTCAAAGTTTGCCAAATTAGGGTTTCAAATTTTCAAAAACTACGAACTCAATATATTAAACAAGTCCGGAAAGGAAGGAATCTAAAGGGAATAAGTGATGTAGGTCATAGGGGTAAGAAGAGTACCGCAGAATATGGAAGCAGGAAGAGACACCGGCGGAAGTACAAACACCGGCGAGAAGCTCTGGCCGTCAAAGAGGGAAGACCGTGTCAACTTTGACTAGGGGTTGTTTGACCAAGAAATGGAGGAGAATTTTTTTTTTAAAAATTTAAAAAAACCCACCAAATTTTTTAATTTTGAATTGTTTAGTACATAAACTATTTTTTAATAAAAAAATTCATAAAATAACAATCTATTTTCATAAATTTATTTATTATAATATTGTACTTTCAGTTTTTTTTTATTATAACAATATATTTTTAAACTATTTTTTATTAAAATATTGTATTTTGAAAAATTTATCCATTATAACATTAAGTAACCTTTTGATTTAAATTTACCCATTATATCAGGTTTTCATGCCACCTCATTGTCCACGTAGATTGTCCACATGTACTATAGTGATGTGACTTTCTTATAACAATATTGTACTTTCAAAATTATTTTATTATAACATCTACTAGTTCTTGTTAAACAATATACTTTTAATTTTAATATTTAGATATTTTACATGTTATTTAATAAATATATTAAATGAATTAAAAAATTCTAAATTATTCATTAATATACCAATATTAATAAAACTAGTAGAAGACAACTTATTTTGCTAATATTTTTAAAAAAATATGTGTTCTTTGAAAAAAGAAAATAAGAATTGTTCTTTTTTTACCAAAAAAAAATGATATTTTAAATAATATATATTATATTTGTTTAAAAACTTTTACTTGGCGTATAAATATATTAAATTAATTAGATTTTTTAAATTATTTATTAATATAACAATATTAAAAAATTRTAGAACACAATTTATTTCGTTAACATTTTATAGAGAACTTTAAAATATATGTATTTTTTTTAACAACATAAAATAAGAAGTGTTACCTTTTTTACAAACAAAATACATCTCGAAAATAATGTATCATATTTATTTAAGAAATATTTTACTCTAAAATATTTAATTTGCATGCAACTTAATAAGAAAAAATAAAAAAAATTAAATGTTTTTTTTAATTATAGCAATAAAATTTGAAAATCACTGATAATAATTTGAAATAGATTTTATTTTTATTTTAATTAAGTCATTAAAATGATGTGTCATCCATATCACCTCATTAAAGCCACATAAGCAAAAAAAAATCAAGGGGTTAACCGGTTTAAAAGGTAACATGTTACCCATTGTTATAATGGGTAGATTTTTTAAAGTATGATGCCTTAATAAATAATAATTTGAAAGTACATTGTTGTAATAAAGAACAACAAAAGTAGAATGTTATAATAAGAAAATTTATGAAAGTAAGTTGCTATTTCATGCATTTAACTTGTAACAAATTTATTAAACTTTCTTTTATTAAATGAAAAAATCATTAAACTTTCTCTTTTAATTGATCAAGTCCTTAAATGAAAAATGGGTTCACCTTGTGATCGATTAAGAATGTCCGTTTACATTCGTTTATGTTCGTTTAGTTTTTAAACGAACAAACACGAACATCCCTTTTTTAACACGAACGAACATGAACTTTAGAATTTTTGTTCGTTTACTGTCCATGTTCGTTCGTTCGTTTGGTTAAATTAAACGAACGGACATGAACAAACCTTTGTTCATGTTCGTTCCATTCGTTTATAGACCTATGCATGAGTACACTTCAAGTATCGAATAGAACTCCTTTAATTAAAATCAAGAATATTACATACAATTAAAGATGCACAAAAGTTATGTTATTTAGGGGACGTTTACCCATATGCTTACCTGGTAAGTGCTTACCGATAGGATTCAACATTATAATATATTTTTATACGTAATATTTTAGTACATCAAAACATATCGAATGCAACAAGTTACTGGTAAGTGCTTACCTGGGTAAGAGTCGTCATCCTTACTTACCGGGTAAGACTCTCTATCCTTTTCATTACTCTTAACCGGTAAGGTTCTTGGCATTTCTCTTGTTCATCCAATAAGCAAATTTATCCGGTAAGCACTTACCAAGTAAGTGTTTAGTAAACGGCTCATTAGTTTCGAATTTTGAATTGAATCTGTCCCAAAAACCAAATCTAGAAGGATTGAATATGGCTAGGTTCGGTCCTTAAAAAGGTTCTTATCTTTAGGCCTTAACTGATAAAAAAATAACATTAGTCAATCACCGAACGTCTAGTTTTGTCTGACTATCTGAATTTGGATAGATAAAATTTCCACTGCTGGTTTTTAAAACTATGTGATCAGTGTTTGTGAAGTCTTGTTTCCAAAGTAGTAGCTCAAACCAAGGAATGCCGAGGTTTGTAGGATTTACAATGCAACTTAGGTGGCTTACATACTCACCTTAGACGCTATGTTACTCATATTTGGAACGACTTAGAGACAATTATCTGGGCGCCTTGACTGGCGACTTCAGTCGCATCTCGCATAAGGGTTTGTGAGCAGTTTTTAATAGCAGCTTCGGCCTTTGTTCTTTGTAGTTCTCTTCATATTGATTAAGCATTATTATCGCAATATATACATATTACATACGTCATACAATAGCTAAAATCTATTAAGCTCTCTATTGCTTATTTCCAAGTATGGTGAACATCAGAATGTGATAATGGACTTCTCGGTAGTCCCTTCCATCCGTGGTTTTTTCAGTTTTGGGTTTTGCACGTAAGTCATGTGTTATCTTTTTGCTATTTACTGTACTTTGGTCAAGTCAATTTGTTTAATTTGTGGTTGTTTATGGTGCATGCTGAGAATTTGAGTTTATTGATCTACGAACAAGTTCTAGTTTATTACTGGATATTATCTTTTGCTTAGTTGGCTTTGTCTAATTCATAGATGAATCGAGATTTGTGTGATCATATTTGCACTAGTTATTGCTTTGTCGGAGCAACCAGATGATTGGTTTTTCTGTTCCAAAAAAAATTGACGTAGATCAAGGCGAAATACATAAAAGGTTTGGATAATTGGGTCCATGAAAACCGAACCAATGTCCAAATAAAGCATTTCCAACCAGATCTCATAAAATTATTAAAAATAGAAAACAAAAGGTTACAATCTCTAAAAAGAACTGTATTTAACTCCAATAGATTCATTTTTTTATAGATGTCATAATTAATTATATTATTAAAATATCATTTAATTTTATCATTCCAATACATTTAACTATATATATATATATATATATATAGAGTTAAATGCATGAAATAACAACTACCTTTCATAAAATTTCTTATTATAGTATTTTACTTTTGTTTTTCTTTATTACAGCAATGTACTTTCAAATTTTGTTTATTAAGGCATTGTACTTTAAAAAATATACCCATAATAGCAATGAGTAACATGTTACTTTTTAAACCGGTTAACCCTTTGACTTTTTTGTTTGTGTGACTTTTTTGTTTGTGTGGCTTTAATGAGGTGATGTGGATGCCACATCATTTTGATGACTTAACTAAAATTAAAATAAAAACTTATTTCAAATTATTATTAGTGGTTTTCATTTTTCATTGTTATGATCTAAAAAAACATTTTTTTTACTTTTTCTTATTAAGTTGCATTCAAATTAAATATTATTAGAGTAAAATATTTATTAAATAAATATGAAACATTATTTTCGAGATATATTTTGTTTGTAAAAAATGTAACTTTTCCTATTTTATGTTGTTCAAATAAATACATATCTTTTAAAATTCTCTAAAATATTAACGAAATAAATTGTTATCTACAATTTTTTAATATTGTTATATTAATAAATAATTAAAAAATCTAATTAATTTAATATATTTATACGTCAAGTAAAAAGTTTTTGAATAAATATAATATATTCTTTAAAAGATTGGTAAAAAAAGAACAATTCTTATTTTTCTTTTTTCAAAAAACACATATTTTTTTTAAATGTTAGCGAGATAAGTTGTGTTGTACTAGTTTTATTGATATTGGTATATTAGTGAACAATTTAGAATTTTTTTTAATTCATTTAATACATTTATTAAATAACATGTAAAATATCTAAATATTAAAATTAGAAATACAGTGTTTAATAAGATTCAATAGATGTTATAATAAAATAATTTTGAAAGTACAATTATGTAATAAGAAAGTCACATCATTATAGTACATGTGGACAACCTACGTGGATAATGAGGTGGCATGGAAACCTAGTATAATGAGTAAATTTAAATCAAAAGGTTACTCAATGCTATAATGGGTAAAAAATTAAAAGTACAATGTCTTAATAAAAAATAGTTTGAAAGTACATTGTTGTAATAAGAAAAACTGAAAGTACAATGCTATAATAAAGAAATTTATGAAAGTAGATTGTTATTTTATGCATTTTGCCCCATATATATATATATATATATATATATATATATATATATATATATATAACAATAAATAATTCAATCTCATTTGTAGGAAATGAATAAAAAAAAGTATTTCTCCTTATATCAAATTTTAGATATTCCCAATCAAATTTTTGATATTCCCTAAACTTGTAGATTTATCTAATTTAGAAAACAATATAGAGAATCTGTTAAAATAAAATAAAGAACGAGATCTTCATTTTCTCTATTTTAGAATATCTGTCGAAGATGTTCATAGGACAGTTTGTGTATCTGCAAACATTTTTATGTCGGTGTTTAAGAGATATATATATATATATATATATATATATATATATATTAGAGAGAGAGAGATGAGTTATTATGTAATCCTTTATATTTGTACAACCAATACAACTCAATATCAACTGTCCATTTAATTTGATGAATATGTGATTTCATAAAAGTTTTGATTGTATACTAATATAAATTATTGATCATAATTAATGAACTCTAGTCACCTTCCATAATATTCAAATCATAATAAATGAACTCTCATTAATTCCATAAATATCTCAATTGATTGGGTTGCATTGGTTGTACAAATGTGATGAGTTGTATTTGAAACGTTCTATATATATATAGGGAATGATTCAAACGAAAACATCTTCATTTTACAAGAACGCGAGAACACCCGTATCAACTCAATCTCAATCGTTCATTTAATTTGATGAATATATAATTTCATAAAAGTTTTA